TGCCGAGGGTTTGCTGAACAACATCATTCTCTTGACATATTTGCGGAAAAAGTCGTCAACAAACCTGAAAAAAGGCAATCCTAAAACAGGTAGACGAACAAAGACGCGTGATGAAGAAAAAAGAGGGGCCTCGACAACGCTAGTATCGATGGAGCACGTAATGATACTAGTGAGGACATGCTGAAGCTCAGCACCGTCATAACATCAAAGGTACTATACTCCCTCAGCAAACTTGTGTCTCCCAGCACAGGACCCCTCAATGCAACGGTGATCCCCAAAAACCCTGAAGGTGATTGGAATTAAGTCAACAAAGTTAACAGAGACCGGGTGTCACCGTCTAAGAATCTGAGCATCTCAGGTAATGTGGCAAGTTTCATTGATGATCTGGCTGTACAGTCTACTCCTAATTCTGTCCAGCCGGTTGGAGATGAGCACAAGAGTCTGAAACGGGCTTCAATCACCAAACAACAAGTTCCTCAGCCTTAACGTACTCGGAAATCTGGGAAAATAATCAAAGTTCACGATGGATCTCTCATAATCATGAACCTTAAACACAGCACTGACCTTCTCTCTAGCTGCAGGACAGGAGTGATAGGATGCTCGAGAAAGAGTTGAATAGGAAGCTTGAAAGTTCCAAAACTTTTTTACGGTTACACGGCTCACTCGGAAAAAAGGAGTCCAAGCACCAAAATCACCCAAGTCTACGTAACGCTCAATAACTCTACCAGTGTAGAGGATATGTTGCTTGCTGGTCATTAACTGAAATCAGATGTAAATAAAAGAATTCTACCAGATATACATTATTCTGAACACAATTTCATCAGGAACATTCTTAAAGAATCTCAGGAGATTTTCCGCGGAAGAAATTTCATTGTGCAAGGTGTACCGAAAAACACGGACTGTGACCACACAAACACTGATATTCGGGAACGGGAATTCATCAAGTAGTCCTTGAAGCTTAAAAACGTATTGACTCGACAAGTGGTGAGACTGATAAAAAAGATGGGTATTCTAGATCTGAGCTGATGACGATTAGCCTCTCATCCTCACATATGGCGATTGCAACTCTAAAAGCACTTCCTACCTACAGACGTCGGATGCCAACTGGAATCCATATGCATCCGGATAGGCCAAATGATGCCAGGATCAAACACAATGACAAGTTGGAGCTGGCCACCTCATTTGTGGACTCTCAAGATCGTTGAAAAGAACGTAGGAAGGACTTGGGCTACCAACCCGGAAAACCCTGTGTATGTAGGTTATCTGTCAATTCACACAAGGCTCATATAGATAAACAGGAAGAAGAAGCTAACGCGTTTCAAATTGAAAGCATAAACTGCCTATGTATAAACGCCGCGAGTTTACCGAATAAAATAGTTGCGATGCATAAACTCAGTAATGTTAATAATGCTAATATGATAAGAATATCTGAAACTTTGATATCCTAATTTATGGACCAGGAGCCAGAAATACCCGGGATCTTTGTTTCACAACGAGAGAAAAACAGGAATGGGGGTAGAGTAGCCTTGTGTTTGCGATCTTGACTGAAGTTACGTCATGTGCACAACCGAGAGTTTAACAGTCTTGATGAATCCGTATGGTGCTCAGTAAGATTGTCTACCACTTCGATGTGTCTAGTTGGGTTCATTTACAGAAAAGCCATTGCTGACATCGAGTACGACAGTCGTATGCTGAAAGGATTATCTCGCTCTACTCGTCTCGGATTCACTCATACCTTGATTCTAAAAGACTTCAATCTTCCTGAAGTCACTTTCGTGGAATAAACGTAAATCGGAGGTGAAAACCACACAGAAGCTCTGTCCTACAATCTCATCAAAGATCTGATATTATTCAAAAATTTGAAGTGGGCAACTGGCTAGAGAAACAGTCAGACGCCTTCGTGCTTAAACCGCGTGTTCACAAACGAAAAATTCCTCACAATCCTGACTCCACTGTGGAAAAGCGATCACTCCATCATAACATTTAATTTTATCAACAAAACTGAGTTAAGAAATCCTAAGGACAACAGGCGCTGGGATTCAAAACGGCTGATTGTATCGGCTTTACAGGACAATCTGCAACAACTGGAACGGAACGTTCACCATCGAATTTATGTGGATGCTCATTGGGATTTCTTACTTCACACGATCTTATGAACTACAAAGCAGTCTGTCCCCCAAATTGTCCCCAAAATCTACAAGCAACCCACAGTCATCAGGAACCACACTCCTCGTTTGCTAAGCCGAAAAAAGCATTGTTGGGTAGAATACAAACGAACTGATAACAACGGCGAGCACAGGCAATGCAAATATATAAAGGATATATGCACAAAGGCAATAAGAGAAGACAGGCTTCAGTACCAGAAAAATTTAGCGATAAATTTGTATCCAACCCGAAAAGCTTATTTCGTTATGCAGCCTCACTTCGACAAGCTGAAACTGTAGTTTGCCAACCGTTAGGACCTAATGGTCCGACCAACAACGACGGTGATATCGTTAGCCTTCTGGCTGAACAGTGCTCTCAGACGTTACAGTGGCGGGCCAGAAAAGAAGTTCGGGGACTCGAATTACAGCTTTATGGAGAACGTCTCCAATCACGGAACCCTTACCCATTAAAGCATAGGCGTCTAAAGGGAAACTTGACATATTCTTAAGGACTGAGGATAATATCTTACTATGATTTACCAATTTCTTTTTCATCTATTATCGTTTATCCAACCTATTGACTGCAGTGGACAGATGACAACCATTTTTGGCCGCGAGAGGAAGGTTGATATGATATATTTCGACTTCTCAAAAGCTTTTGATAGGGTCAACTTTATATTTCTTATCAATAAGTTCAGACGACTAGGCAGCAAATCACTATTAATTGGTTGGCTCACTTCATGTCAAAAAATCGATGTTGCAAGGTCAGTGTTAACTTCACTTTCTCTCAGGCCATACAGTGTCCTAGTGGGTTCCGCTAGGGTTCACTACTAGGGACTTTCCTTTCTCGACTTATATAAACGATCTCTCACAGAAGATGTCGTCAGACTTATTACATTTTGCCGATGATGTGAAACTTTGGAGAAAGATACGTAACCAAGAGGATAAATTGGCATTTCAGGAGGATGTTACTCGACTTCGAAGCTGGGCAGATGACAACAGACTAACCCTCAACGCTTCAAAGTGTAAAGTAGTTCATCTGAGACATGATGCAGGCTACAGGTACAACCAAGGAAACTCCTCTGTAGAAGTATCTCAAGTTGAGAAAGATTTAAGAGTGCTGGCACCCTACGATTTGAAGTCTTTCGCTAACTGACAAAAATGTCTCTCGAACAAACCTTTCACTGGTAACATTGAAGCGCATGTTTGACCAGTTTGACGCAAGAACTTTCTACATGATCCTTAACAGCTTCATTCGTCCCCATTTAGAGTACGGAAACATAGTATTTCCTCCCTCGCTCCAAAAGGATAAGGACACTCTGGAGCGTATCCAACGGCGAGCCATTAAATCGGTTTGAGAACTCAAATTCAAGCCTTATTAAGAACGTCTTCAATCATTAAACCTTTACTCATTGGAGTACAGGCGTCTTAGAGGTGACCTTCTGATGACTTGCAGCATTCTTAACACTTTTGGATATCCCAATAAACACCTACTTAAGATTAGTCCTAATACAAACCTAAAGGGTAACACTCAGAAACGGGATGGATAATGCAGCGAAACAGACTGTAGACAGAACTTCTACTCCCTAAGATTTGTCAAATGCTGGAATTCCCTGTTGGCTGGGCTAGTCAAAGTGACTTCCCAGGAGTCCTTCAAGAGGAAACTTTATCTATTCCTAAGGACTAAGGATAGTATCTTAATATGATTTACCAATTTCTTTTTCTTTTATTATCGTTTATGTATCTAGGTTCCTGCCTGGAGGTATTGATGATCCACTCCTATAAGATACGGAAGCCCGTTAAGCGAAAGCTTCTTTTATTCCGTCCATAACCGTTTGAAGCATTTGGACCAATCTTTTTTATTCACATATTTTATTGATAATATGCATAGGTTCCTACATGGGCGTATTGGTGATCCACTACTACTGGATATGGAAGCTCGTTAACCGAAAGCTTTCTCTATTCCGTCCAAAACTATTTGAACCATCTGGACCAACGGACTTACCTTTAACACTTCAAAGTGTAAAGTAGTCCATCTGCGACATGTAGCAAACTACAGTTACAACTTAGGAAACTCCTCTCTAGTAGTATCCCAAGTCGAAAAAGATTTAGGAGTCCTGGTACCCCATGACTTAAAGTCTTACGCTAACTGTGACAAAAATGCCTTCCGAGCAAACCTTGCACTGGTAACGTTGAAGCGCATTTTTGGACAGTTTGACGGACGAACTTTCCACACAATCTTCAATAGTTTTATCCGTCCCCATTTAGAGTACGGAAACATAGTACTCCCTCCCTCACTCCAGAAGGACAAGGTCACTTTGGAGCGTATCCAACGGCGAGCCACGAAATCAGTTCGAGGACTCAAATCTAAACCTTACGAAGAACGCCTCCGTTCACTAGACCTTTACCCACTAGAATATAGGCGTCTTAGAGGTGATTTACTGATGGCTTACAGTATTCTTAACACTTCTGGACATCCTCTTAAACACCTACTTAAGCTTAGTTCGAATAATAACCTAAGGGGTAACACCCAGAAACTGGAAACACAACATAGCAAGACGGAATGTAGACACAACTTCTACTCCTTAAGAGTTGTCAAAAGCTGGAATTCGCTGCCGGCCGAGCTAGTCCAAGCGACTTCTCAGGAGTCCTTCAAGAGGCAACTTGACCTATTCTTAAGGACCAAGGACAGCATCACATTATGATTTACCAATTTCTTTTCCTTTTTATTGTTAATATACCTAGGTTCCTGCCTGGAGGATTTGGTGATCCCCTGCTACTAGACACGGAAGCCTGTTAAGCGAAAGCTTCTTCTATTCCGTCCACAACCATTTGAACCATTTGAACCATTTGAACAATTTGACCTTGGGTTCAGTCAAATATGGCCTTGTTGTCGATGATCGGGCGACCTGCAACTGCAAAATAAGTAATAGAAGGTAGATCTTTAACCTAGATCAAATAACAAAGCCCCAACAAGAAATCAACGTTGTCCAATTTAATTTTTACTGCATTATAGTGCTTAAATAGGCCACAAGTAGTGTGCCACTATATACGTTATAACATGTTATAACGTGTTTCTTAAGAAACTACGATCATTGTTTGGATGCAGCGTATCTATAGTGTACTTCCGTTTTTATTTCTATCATAAGACTCAAAACGAAATGGATAGTATGGATCTATAGAACAATTTAGACGGGAGTCATTGTTAACATGCTTTAGTAAATGTACATTAACTAGGTTTTCAGTACTTTAACATCATTTATATTTCAAAAGAAATCTGTAAAAGGTCTTGCCAACAGATTTAAACGAACTTCGGCACAATTTAGGGTAAGATAATATCTAAACTGAATTCATTAAATTCTGAAGACAGAAAAAAGACTCAAACTATTTTTTAAGTAGTGCGTGATCTAAAAAACATAGAGTAGTCTACATTTGGTTGTTTTTTGATCTGAGACATCTAGCATACGTCAGAAAGTGTTCTTAACATAGCGATGTAAGGATTTTTGATAGTCACTATTACGGTTTTATTCATATTTGTGGATTGCATGAGTGATAGGTCTTGTCATAAAGTAATTAAATTATCATCGACACCTACGCATATCAAATTTATAACATTTAGGGGAAACTGGAATATGCTGAGTAATTTGGGTTCTATAATGATGAATGACTTGATTCTGCTATAAAGGTCTCTCGTCACTCCATAGGGTGTATTCACCACTTGGAAGAGTAATCCTACAGTAGAAACGATGTCCTATTACAATTCACCTATCGTAACCTGAAGTCTCGGCGTAATTAAGTATGTAACTAAATTAAGCATAACCAGGTGCTCCACATATTACGGCAACCGATTTCATAGTTATATTTAATTGTTTAAGACCCAATGTCCTCCACCTTTTCTCTCAGGAATAACGTCTAGCTGAAGCTCATTGAGCTCAGCAGGTTGTGCTCGAGAATGCATGGCTAATTTTGAGTGGAGTTATGCGACCTAACGTAGACCATAGTTGTTAATTGGAACTCTTGTACAACGACAGTCTATCTAGGCTTGTTTGCAAATGTATGCAGCCAAAGCTATAAAGGGATAACTATAGTTTGGCATTTCTTAGCAGACTGGTTTGTAATATGATATGGTAGTAAATGTCTCTGCTAATAAGCTTTAATTTTATATATTCATAAGTTCTTAAAAAATTCGAACACCGGTAGTGAAATGTAGGAAATTATATCATAACGGCTTTATAATGGAAACAGCTTCCTCTGCCCCGAAATACCATGGTGCGGTCGAGAGTGGGGAGAGTCAACTCTCCCTTTTGAGATCCACTCGCATGGTCACGTGCACACTGCCAGGGAAGTTCTACTCACCGCCTTCTCGCAGCGAGAGATTTTTTTACGAAATTGAGAGGACGAAGAGTGAATGTCCGGTGCTTTAACCGTGTTCGTGGATACGGACGATCGATCCACCTAGGGGAGTTGAGAAACCCTGGTTCAAAACCAGTTGTGCACATGGGCTCTACTATCCTAAGGGAACAAATGGCGTATGAACTACTCGTTGTTCACTGACTACCATGGGACTGCATCTCCTTACGTTTCTCCACTGCCTTGTAGATTGGACCTTTAGGTCGAAGGCTCCGGGTGTGGTCCCCTAAGAAAACCACCTGCTTCGGTCTGGGCACTCGGGAATTATCCTAGCCCTCACAAAAATCGAATGATTTGTGTGGCGCATACCTATTTAGTGCCTTCTTTTACCTATGTTTATGTGTTTAAATAAACAATAATTCTAATACTTGACCCTTCATACTTTCCATCGCAAGTGCATTCACCCCTTCCCTCGTAGTTGGAGATTTTAGTGGAACTAATCTTGAGTTCGTTAGTTCTAAATCTAACAGCCTTGTCTGTCTACCATTGCTATCCAGAAGCCTTGAGGTAGTGTGACTACTGGATGCAAGTGTATTACAATTAACCTTGGTCAACACAAATACAACCTCATGATTTAGGAGTTCTTAAGCAGAAAATATAGTTTTTACGCAAGATAATTGAGCATATAACCATATTTCCTTGTTTTTATTCCAGTCGCAGACTAGTGAATGACTCTTCTTAGTTATCGTTGACTGCTAGACCCTAACTGGACGCTAATAATAACTCGTAGATATCCTTTGAAATCAAAATGGGAGAATAACACGTTCGATTGTATACACTTACGAAGAAGATATTGCATAAATTGTGTACTAGAAATTGGAACTGATACAAGTAATATGAAGTTCTGTTTGCAAATACACCATGATTGAGTTATAAATAATTCCTAGTCTTGAGTAGCAATAATGAAACGCTATGTGGCTTATTATGATCATTGTGTGACGTTCAAGTTGAGGACTCTAGTAGTTGCTAAGGGCAAACATGAAAGCGTGAACGGCCAGGCTGTGCTTTTTCAAACTTTCCAACCCTAATGACCAGTCCAAAGCAATTGTTTTAACCCCAGTTCCTGCTGTCGTTATTACTGAGGATTATTGATAGACTACTGCGTTTATAAGCACCCATTTTTGATCTTCTTGAAACTTGTTCTTTTTATGCTATGTGGTAACCGTATGTCTTCAAAAATTTCTTTCTGCAGTCTTAAGTTTTATTGCCACTTTTCAGGGATCGGTAGAGATATTACCACCAGGTAGTCTAAGGAAAAACCAGTTCAGATGGCCTAGTCGTCCAATAGTCAATTTTTTTGTCAGTTTTATGTTTATTTATTTATTTATTTTAACACATAGATATTGGTACAAAGAGGCACGAAATACATATGAGCCACACAAATCTCATTCGATATGTGTGAGGGCTGTGATATCGCCCGGGTGCCCAAACCGAAGCAGGTGGTTTTCTTAGGGGGCCACTCCCCGAACCTTCGACCTGAAAGTCTGATCCACAAGGCAGTGGAGCATCGTGAGGAGATGCAGTCCCATGGAAGCCGGTGACCAACAATTGGTTCATACGCCATTTGTTCCCGCATGATACTGGGGCCCATGTGCACCATTGGTTTGAAATCCGGTTAAAGCACTGGACATTCGCTTTTCGTCCTTTCATTTTCGTAAACAACAGCAATGCCACGAGAAGGCAGTGAGTAGGACTTCCCTGGCAGAGGCTATATACGCGTAGCCATGTGAGAGCATTTCGAGAGGGAGAGCGGACTCTCCCCACTCTCGGCCGTACCAGGTCGTTTGGGGGCCAGCTTTATGTGCTCGTGTACAACATGTATGTAGAACATACACCTGTTAAATTTTATAAATACAATAGTATAGAGAATTTTGTCCCACTGTACATTTGAGGATGACTAGATTATAAATATGATTGTGTTAGCAGTAGTAACTTCTTTGATGAAAGGCTACAGAAAACTGATTGACAATCAATCATGCATGTTTATGTTCTGTCCAGACTTTTCTGGTTGGTTGCGCCTACAACCTCAATTCGCCAAGTTGCATGTGCTATAAATAAAACCCAACATATATTTTGTCGATGCAATTCCACTCAACACGTTAAAATGACTGTAGATTAAATTTTTTCAGAAGATGTGTTAGGATGTTTGTCTAACTAAAAGCAAAAGTCATCTTGGATGTTTTGTAGATTGGATACTCATTCGATGCTGCAGTAGAGTCCTGACACTTCCTTTACATCTCCCAGCTTAAGATACGTGCGTAATCTATTTATTTATTTATTTGGACACATGAATATTGGTACAAGAGAGCGCCAATATATATGCGCCACACAAAACAATGAAAATTCGAGAGGAATACAAAGAAGAAAAAAAAGCTAAGGAGCGCGACAAAAAAAAGAGAGAACAATAACGAAGAGATTGGTGTAAGGTAATGTGCTAGTAATCAGGGAACGCAAAGGTACAATCGGAAGAAACCTTTCAGGTAAGGGAGACACAACCACTTTTTATGAAGAAAGTAAAAGAAGGTTACAGCAGGATCGCCATTGGCTTCTATTCTGAGCCATATCTGATAACGTCTCTAGCGTAATCTATGTTTATCCTCAGATATCGTAGCATGGTTCATTGAAATCAGTGTTGCATTGACTACTATAACTTATCCCTTATTATGGAATCGAAAGTTGTTAACAGCAATTTTTGTGTATAAAAGGAAGAACTGTCTGATTGGGATTTGTTAACTAGACATAACTCCCTAGGAAAAGTACAAGGTATCGTGGGTTGAGTCTCTATCATATATGCTTCAGCGTAATCACCCTAATGTAGTTTTTGTTTTTTTATAAACTATTTGAAATCAAAAGGATTCATCTTGGTAACTCGTTATTTTGACTGTATTTTATGATAATTTTTTAATTAACCTAAGAAACTTATTGTATTTTCAAATAAAGAATAAAGGTAAGAAGGCATTTTTTTTCTTCTCGACGATCTCACTTACTGAAGCTGTACAGCCATGTCCATGGTGATTGAATTAATATATGAGTCGATAAAAAACCCTTTATGACTCAACCTATTTTTACTCCTACACAGACATCTATAGAATTTCAATTGTTGCTTTTTTTGCGATGTGGTCTTGTGTTTCTTCACAACGTTGCTACTCCGTTTTTATGTGCTGTTTCTAGAAGCACATTTTATGTTATAGTTAAATAAATAACACAGTTTTTTTTACTTTTTATTCGATAACACTGTGTTAACATTAAAACAGCAGCTTATTTTATCTTCCAGGTTTATTTGGCTGCCAAAAAGCTGCTAATTGACGACTTTTCAAAAGCCATCTCTTCTCGGAGGAATTTTTTTTAATTATCGTTCAATGTCAATAAACAGTAAGTACTATTAGTTAATGTTGGGCACAATAGATCCCCAAAACTCATGTTTTTTTAAAAATTTTATCTTATCGATTAAATGTTTAAATATTTGTATGGGGTTCAATTGATGAACTTATCGATTAAATGTTTGAATGGCAGCCAATTGCTGAACTTATCGATTAAATGTGCAAATAGGTCAATTAATGAAATTATTGATTAATGTTTAAAAATTTTCCATGACAATATCGATTGTAAATATTTGTATAAATACGCTTGATTTGTGTGCTTGACTTGACTTGTAATCTGCTGTTTGCCTGTAGAATATACTTTCTACGCCTCACCCAGGCTTCTTGATCGAGTTAGTTGAGTCGGGGACAGCGAACCACAATAGCTATCGAGTTTTTGAATCATTGATTCTTCGTTCCGTTCGAGTAAAATGAATCAGTAGTAGTATTCAAGCTTTAACAAACATAACAGTTAACTATTCCAAGAAACTACAACTTCAGATAATCAACATTCTTTTTCATCATATGCGGTATCGGATTATATAATGGTGTACAGATTAAAGCATTTGCGTTTTGGTTTACATGGGTTGTGTATTACACATAGTAAACCGAGTTTACCATTGTAAGACAAAGCGGCTTCTGCCAATCAGGATTGTATTTGGTTCCGTCATGATGTTAGTTTGGCCGTAAAAGGTTGGATCTACTAGGCGTCGGTGAGGGTAGCTTTGCTCTATGCTTGTGAAACCTGGCCTTTTCGAGTCGAGGATGTCAGAAGACTGTTTGAACACTGTTGTCTCCGAGGGATCGCTGACATTCAATGACAACGCCGTATTAACACAAAGGTACGGCAACGTATATTCGGGTAAAGCAATGTTAACTCAATTGGTGTCACCATCTTGAAACACCGACTCCGATTGCTCGGATATGTGCTACGAATACCGTCCTGGCCAATCCCTCATCGTGCAATAGTTGTCGACACTGGGGACTTGTTTGGAAAATTGTAGAGATCGTCAGTGCATGACATGGTTTCGTTGCACGAAAGAAAGCTGTACAGGACAGGCTTCTGTCGATCTTTCACGACTCCATGGTTGGAGTCCTAGAGATGGTGCAACACAGTGGCTTGAGACTTTATCAGACTTCGCTCAGGGTAGAAGCCTGTGGCTATCCTGCTATAAATTTCTTTTACTTTCTTTACAAAAGTGAAAGTAACGTTTTTAACCGAAAGAATTCTTTCTGATTGTTTTTTTGCGAACTGAACTTCTCTAATTATTATTATTTAGTATTAATTTCATTCGCGTACACTAATTTCTATTCATTGTTGTTCTTATTTATTATACTCTCCTCTTTTTCCTCACAACCTCATTTTTATTATGCTGCATATATAGTTGGTGACCCCTTTGTACCAATATCTGTGTCTGAATAAGTAAATAATGATGGATGACATCAGAGCTGATGGTAATATGGAAAAAGACTGAGAGATGGCGCTAATTTACGATACCAAATTTTTTTCTGAACCATGTAGGAGAAATGAATTTACCAACGGGAATCTTTGATGTCGAATTTTTATGCTGTTTCGTCAACATTTGAAAAGATGAAATAATTATGTAGTCTATTGGAAGGACTCAATATTTCATTATAAGTTTTCATACAAATATTTCGACAGACTAGTCTACTTTGCTATCATCATCTTCAGGAAAACATATATGGACTTCTATCCCTTCTTCCATTTCCAGTGTTCAATCGATTAGAAATTAGTAATGACATAGAAAATATATTAAGAAGAAAGTAATAAACTGGAGCCATAATTTAACCTTTAAATCTTCATTTGAGAGTTTTTATTAGTTTAACGTTACTTCACCTTCTTATAGACCTTCCTGATTTAAATGTTTTCCGCAATACATACCTTTATCTCTGTATACAGAAAACTAAAGGGATTAAAACTAGTGGTCTGTAGAATGCTTTACTCTTTTCTGTAATATGTGCTTTCTATGCATTTAGTGCTGCTAGTTATTTGTTCGATTTGATAATCACTTACATCACGGAATGATAACTAAGAAAGTGATTGAAAACTATGGGTCACTGAACAGTTGTTCTGACATCGTCTAGACTCGTCTGTATCTGCTTACAAAATAAACCCCAGTACTGTTCGGTCTTACCGTGGGTAAGTCCTATAGTTGGCAGCTCCAACTTCAGTCAATATAGCAAGTATTTCAACCGCTAGTCAGTTTCATTGATGTGTTTTATTTATTTGTTAGTACAAATATACAGCGAATAAAGAATGTGAGTAGAACACTATGGAGGAAACCCGAAAGAATCCTTTCAGTCAAACAAGTCCCTCCTTATTTTACAAAGAAAGTAAATGAAAATTACGGCGGGATTTCCATTGGTTTCTATTCTAAGCGATGTCTGATGACATTACAAGTCACTGAGTGACTCTCTCTCTCGGACCCCAACCAAGGAGTTATTATGAACGGATAAATAAGAGTCCTACATACTCTCATTTCATATTCCGGCACTACGTCATAAACTGACCACCTCTCGTTTTTCTAACCAGTTCCAGCGTCAGCAATTAATGCACTATGTGGCAGTTGCTACGACAGACAAATCATATAAAGGTGCAACAAGGTTCCCCGATAAGCGCTCGCAAAACAAGCTTTTTGATTTGATAGATGGAGAGCTAGTTTCCAGTACTTCACTATAGTGTTGAATATACAGCTAACACCTATGTTGCCATTTTCCAAAGAAATAGCTAAACCTATCTGTTTCCGATATGCATTAGTGTCTGAGAGTTGAGGAAGACCAATTTGAATGACACATGTAGTTTCAGAAAAGCTGATTGGGAGTCCATATTCTGTAGGAACATCCAAACTTTCGATCAATCAGTGACGTGAGTTCGTTTAGACAGAAAATTTCTACTGTAAATGAACCGTATTAGTTTAAAACTAAGCAGAATGAAAACATAGTATAATAGAAAACGTGGTCGAGGGTAAAATAAAAATACATGAATTAAATGGGTAGTAATTATCTTTTGAGTTTGTAATAAAGCAGAGTAAATAGACCAATTACCTCATAATCATTCACTGTCACTGGTGGATATCTGTTTCATTTATAACTTTTTCTGAGTCAATATTTTATGGCCTTATTATAATTTCATAACGACTATCCAAAAGCAAGTTATTCAGCCCGACTCTAATCCTTATTGTGAATTGTCTTTAAATATACTACTTTTTGTGTACAATGGTAAGTAAAAGCCGTGTCCAATTCTCTGTACATCATAAATAAGACATTTTCTACTATCAGAAACAGCATTCAACTGGTTGAAGCGTAAGGGGTCACTCTAATACGTTGTCGATTTAAGTTAGCACAGATACCATTTTAGTTTTGTCTGTAAAACGAATACTTCGCAATTGGCGGTAGTAAAATGTCCCATTCTATGAAGCCACATTTATTTCTATCGATCAGTACACTCGTAGCCAGGTAAGTCGTCCAAAATATCAACTACTAAGGTGGTGATATAGTTGTTGGAGACAATAATCAGCGTAAAACATATCGGCCAAAACAAAAAGTATACTCAAAGCGATTACTTAAGTACTTCAAAGTTCACGTTCACAAAGTAGGACGAAAGCTTAAGATCGAATCTTTAAATGTTATCTGTAAAGTATAATAAAATCCTACTTAATTAGATGTTCAAATATGAAAAATATTTCGAATTTCAGTAGAAATGGCAATTCAACGTTTCCTTATATAACAAAATAGGCCTACAAAATTAAAACATTGTCTTTACAAAATATTGTTGAGCAATAACCATTCAATAAAGTTTGTACAAAACAGTTATCTGATTGAATATATATATATTATATTATACAATGTACATTTTATGTCTTTACTTTTTCATATCAAAAAACCTGGAGTTGATAGTTGGACGCGTGTTAAAATACTTTAAAAAGCTTATACTCAATTGGATTTTTCCGTGAAATATAATCATCGAAACAATGCCTGTTCCCTATCCTCAACATCCGATCCCTATTGAAGCGCTTTCTGAATATGACATTCGTGAAATACTCTTGGATGGTCATGAAATTCTTGAAAAGTATGTTTAGTCCATCTATTAATTGAAAATAATCAGGCCACTAACTCCAGCTGCAAACTTCCAGAGGATTATTAATCACATCGATTTTTCTGAGAGCAGCAGTTATAGTGATAATTGTTCTCATAATAAAGAGTCTGAGTTTTTTCCAAAGAACTTTACACCAAAAATATGGGAAAATGTTAAGGAGACCGTACGGTATGTCGTATCAGGTATATCTAATTGTTTTTAGTACTACCTTGATTGAAATCAATGCTTTGGTTGACGTTCTTTCCATCATCAAAGAAGGAAAATATCTGGCCATTAATCCTGTTGCTGATGATTCGCAAGAAACTAATCTTTCTCTTTACCTATCTGGGAAAAAACGAGTTAGTTTAGTCAAATTCTTCTCTTATTTATTTTGAAACGAGTAGTCTATCGCTGCTGCCGCTGATATCTTAATGAAAGGTGCTGAGCGTCTCCGTCGTAGACACAGTGAATTGATTGATGCTAGAGTCCGACGATTGAATTCAATTGTTCCTCCTCAGTTTGATAGTACTCATAACTCCTTCCATAAAGCACTAATGCATCTACGCCAAGAATGGAGACTAAAGTTGCATCAAAATTCTATTTTAGGTGATGTTAGTCTACGGTCAGTTGGTTCTCACTTTAGGGAGTCTGGTAATTTCGAGATCCGGGAATCAGATGGTTTTGCTGATAGTAAATCAGATGTGGAGTCACAAGACGACAAGTGTGTTGATGCAGTAACTGGAGTTATGGTAAGAGATTATTTATCATTTGTCTGTAATTAATATTTTCTGCGCTTTATATACCGTTAAATTTACAAATCATTTGTAATGTTGCAGATTTAATGAATTTTGAAATATGAAGACGTTTGTAATTGAAACAAAATCTAAGTAGTAATTAATTTCGATTCAATTGCTTCTGAACTATCTCTTACTATCTACAAAACTCCATTCTAATTCAGCTTGTTAGACCTCATTATGTTCAGCTATCAATTAATTGAGAGGCTTGCAAGTGATCGTACTTCATCACACCATTTATGCAGCCGTATTAGTAAGATCGGTCGAATTTCAACATAATTCCGCATTAGCTATAATACGTGTTAGGCCAAGTAGGACGATGTTCGGATATTGGCTAACGAACATGTCCAGTTGTGAGACCTATGTAACTAACTTCAGAAGAGCAGTTTGATTGGTAGACTAACATAGATGAGGCGAATTCAAAAAGTTTCTTTTGGTAAAAGATAATCAACGTTGATTAAACGATCTATACTTGTTTACTTGATACAAGGAATTAAGAGGACATAAACATAACCTCCCATAAAACTGGAGTTTTTAAATGACTATACTAGTGAAATGATAACGAAACAGATCAGTAAAGTCCGGGAAAAAACGTTTAGTTCAGCCAAGCGATGAACCTTTTTCTACAACCGTCTCATCACACCTGGAAATAAAAATGGAATTTCCAAATTCGCCTTGCTGATATGTATAAGCCGATCGAACTATTCTTGTTTAAGCCATTTATATCCGGCCGAAAATTAGGCAAATCCGTCATCAGATTCCAGGATATCCTGCTTGGTTTAGCAAACGACAATTAAGTTTGATTTAAAGCTTTATTAACTGATAAAGAAAATCAAGTGAAGATAAACAATGCCTTCCAAATGATCCATCGTATTCCAGATGGATTAACTCCAGAGCTCTTTAAGGATGATGGTCCAGTTTTAGCGACTAAGTTGACTAATATTTTATCTAAAATCTGGGAACTGAACGTAATCTCTTCTGACTGGTTGCAATCACTGATCGTCCCAATATATAAGAAGGGGTCAAAATCATCCTGTGGTAACTACAGAGGGATTAGTCTGACTAATATAACGTCTAAAATACTAGCCTCAATAATTATCAGACGCCTAACAAAAACTCGTGAACTGCAAACACGAGAAAATCAGTATGGCTTCAGACCTGGTTGCGGCTGCATTGACTACATATTCACCATTTTCCAGACTTAAGGAAATGTGCATGTTTATCAGCGTCAAACAATGGTGGTCTTTATTTAGTTAAAAGCAGTATTTGACTCTGTAGACCGAGATGTTCTGTGTCAGTGTCTGTCTTAGAAAGATGTACCTCAGAAGTACATAAACCTTGTAAAGGCTCTTTAATCGAAAACTACCAGTCGAGTGAAAACCTGCTTCGGTTTGGGCACCCAGGCAGTATCACAGCCCTCACACATATCAAATGAGATCTGTGTGGCGCATATGTATTTGGTGCCTTCTTGTACCAATATCTATATGTTAAAATAAAAATAAGTCGAGTGAGAGCTTATGGCAAACTGTCATCTGAATTTGTAACATCAAGTGGTGTCCGACGAGGTTGTCCACTATCTCTATTCCTGTTAAATGTCATCATGGACCTATTGCTGGGAATAACGTTCTCGTCGTCTGAATTTTCAGGAATTGATCTCCTTCCAAGAGGTCCACTTATCGACTTAGAATACGCGGATGATATAGTCCTGTTTGGTGAAGACGCTGATAAAATGCAGAGTCTTCTAGTAGCACTGAGCAACAATGCCAGAATGTTTGGGATGCGCTTCTCTCCCTTTAAATGCAAGTTGTTGCTTCAGGACTGGCCTGCGTCAACACCCGAACTAAGGATAGAGGGTGAAATAGTTGAACGTATTGACAACTTCACTTATCTTGGAAGTCTGATCAACCCTAACGGGTTGGCGTGTGACGAAATCTCAGCACGGATTCGAATAGCTCGTTTGGCTTTTGCCAACTTACGTCACGTATGGCGAAGGCGAGATACTGCGCGGCAGTTCGTTTTGTCCTACTTTACGCCTGCGAAACATGGTCATTAAGAGTAGAAGATACTCAGAAGCTACTAGTATTTGACCACAGATGTCTTAGAAATATTGCTGGCGTCTGTTGGGATCACCGGGTAAGTAATAGTAGGGCTAGATGCAGGGTAATAGGGAACGATTGTATATCAGTTGATGAAGTTGTGAGTCTTTATCGACTGAGATATTTGGGTCACGTGTTACGTATGCCCGAACACCGATTACCACGACACGAAATGTTGACAAGTGTTGGAGATGGTTAGAAGTTAGGAGCAGCTAAACTAAAACGTGGCATCAGTGCTTGAAGACACTAACCTCTAGTCTGAGCCATGTTGGTAGATGCAGACTGTTTGGTTGAGGTCCACGCAACTGTTGTAACCAATGGTTAGAGACTCTGGATTACATTGCTCAGAATGGATCACAATGGTGTCGGTGTGTACACTCTTTGTCTTCCCTTAAACCGTGAGATTAAAACTACTCTATGCCTTTCTTTCTACGAATTATTTCTTTCTCCGTGTATCATATCCTTATATGCAATCTTTTTTATTACGATTGAAGTAACGGCTTCTGTGAATCTGATGTTTACTTTGTTGTGTTAATGGGGTATGACAACTTGGACCGATGCATATATAGGCCTGGTCCGATGTTGTTGGTGACTGACCGATTGCATTCCAGTAAATTTGCGGCATCATTTGCTCGTTTGTTGGATGCAGCTGAAGACATTCATCTAATCAAATCTGTTCTCTGCATTTATAAGAAATTTGTACAATTTTTTTCTTGGCCATCAGGACTACTAATACTAGAGCTGGTTACAAATGACTTATTACTTACCGTTTGTTTTCGAAAATGTTCTCAATTTTTGTTTTGGATATTTACTCCTGCATAACCGTAAGATCTCCCTCTCCACCCTTATTTAACTACTGTTAATATTCGAACTTTATCAAAATGTTTGTTAACTCTCTAACTAGATATCATTTAATAATCCTATTCTATAACTAAATATTTCAATCCATATATTTAACCAATAAATATCTTTGCATAGTGATTACTTTATCCATTTGTAATTTTTTAATTACTTGATTAATAGTTTCATCAACACAACGCCATTATATTATTATTAATTTTATCATTGTTAAACATTTATATTAGTGTGAGATCAAGATGAAAAACTAGTCGAAAATAAATAACAATGATTAACTATAAAAGTCCGATATAGATGCAGTATTTATTTAATTTATTTTTACTGCTATTATTTGATACTGAAATCTAATTCAATAATGAAAAAAAAACTCGTTTATTTATTTAATCTTTTTGTCATTTACTTTTAATAGATCATTTTTTCTCAGTCTATGGAAGCTCTTTTAAATTTATCTCATGGACCTGGTTTATTAGCTGTTGAATTCCTTGAATCGGATATTAATTCACTACCCACACCTTTATTAGAGTTCATATTTCATAAACAACAAATATCCTCATGTTCTAGGGATCCGTTACCTATTAATCAAAGACAAAAACTTTTCAAAGCTCAGAGATTATTAGCATGTCGAGAAATTTTATCTTTGCTTAGTTGTGAAGCAAGTACTTCAAAGGAATATAATCATCTAACTGGTTCTGTCGCTTTTGCCACTCAGGTTAGTTTTTAACACCTATATTTCTCTTGTTATTGATAGTAAGTTAAAATAGTTTTAGAAAAATCTATGGGCCATAAAGCAAAGTTTGGTTACGAATCATAATATTTATGGAAGCTGGTCGATATCATTTTAGTTCGAGTACAGTATCATTTCATTTCTCATGTACAAGATAAATGAACGCTAAAACACAACCACTCTTAGCTTCATTTATGTCTTATACCATTATATGATGCTTTCTATAAATCCATTCAAGTAACCTGGTTCGCTTGTATTTCATAGTATAAAACTGATTACCGTTTATTTTTATTATCAGTCAAGAATACACTATCCACGTACCCAATGTTCGCCATCTCGTCATTCACTTCTTTGAGTTTCATCATCGAAAAAACTGAGAAGGAAATGAATAAATAAGATAACCTTAGCTGTCCGTACTTCTGGTTCATAACAACGTGGTTAGATGGCAGTTTTAATTATTTCTCGAGTCTTTGCGTTCAGAACCTTAAGTTCCTCTGCAAATCCACTCTTGGGCAGACACTTTCTTTGTACAGTCATTACAAAGAATTAACTGCAAAAAGTGTTTTCATTAAATGTTTAGTCCTGACCACGATACGTATGATAATGTTTACGAATCTATAGGCCGTAGACGTAGCCAACGTATTATAAATATGAATGAGACATAATCTTTTACACGTTAATATTTTTTCCCTACGTGTTTTTACAGTATGTGTGATTCTTAGTCTATACATCACATCTTTTTAATGAAAGATTTATGCTGATAAATTCCTAATATACCCAACATGAATCTTTTAAGATAGTCAAAAGTAGTTTTTGATGACGTCATATGTTTAGTATCTGCGACATTTTTGTTCACAGTCAAACCACAGTCGTGTTTCTTCATATTTAAACATAATATAAAATGAACGAGGTAGAAAATTTGATTTGTTCCCAAATTTTAATAGATAATTAGTTTTGGTACCACGAGTTAAATAGATAAATGGATGTGGCTTTACTGCGAAGTACAATTTTATGTGCTAAGTTGTTGTGGATTTTGAAAACTGTAATAAGAGATATTTCGAAACGTGTAATTCAATATTTGAAAGCTGATGTTAGCAGACCATGATTCTGTTTCGAAAACTAATAAATCTGTAACTTAGTATACCTGAAATTCTAATAGGATATCAGCTGTAAATAAAGCCAAATCTGTAGAAAACTAAAAAATAATGACAGCTATCCTTCAAAAAGGTGTCATCTCTATATTATGAGATTAAAATTATATAACTAGTATAGAATTGTTTATAAGTGAATCATACTTGTTATTTTTTGCTTACTTCTATAGGATAAGATCATAGCTACATTATTTCCGGGAGTACAAATATGTCTGTCGTCCGCTGTTAGACCTACAGTTTTTGGTGAAGATGTATCGGGTGACGAAAGACCAAAATTGCAAGATAAAAAATCGGATCATACAGTATCTACTATGGACCATTCAAATTGCATAAACTTGCAACTACATCGTATGTTAGCAGGTCAACATCGTGCAGTGTGGCCGAATCTTGCCAGTTTGCCACAGCCTACATGTGGCCCTGTAGAGATTCCTTTATACTATCGTTCAGGTGGTGCAAATGGATTACATGCTTCGAAATTCTCATCGCTACCATATAGCACGAAGTTCTCTGGATTTTCTGTCGCTGTAGCTAGTGTTTCTGGTTTTGCTTCCCAAGCTGCTTCTGCTTTGTGTGTTATTCACGCTACTAACCGGACTAACTCAAATAGTGTTGAGAAAACAAACACCTTTAACCAGCGATCCCAACCCATCTTCGCTGGTCAAGATCGCTTGTCGCTCTTCACAGAATGGGGACACTCACTCCCAGGTGGAGCCTGTGTTCCATCAGTTGGGTTTCGTCACGGGGTACCAAACTCTGCTGATGATTCAGTCCCTGGCACGAGTGACATCGCTATGCTGGAATATACCCTGTTATCTCGAGGAGTTGATGAAGACACAATGAAAACTGTTCTTGGTACGAATCCGTCGTTACTTAGCCGAACCATTGCCATATCTCGTCATCACTATCTTCGAGATCAGTAAGTTTATGTTTATTTTGACTTGTTTTACTGCTTTATTTTGCAACAACAGTTTTATTCTTCCAGTTGTAAAGGCATGGACACCTTGTCTAAAAGGTGAAAGGAAATCTGTTAGGTCTACTAAGCTCACTTAAATTGCATGGTCTTATATATATATATATATATATATATATATATATATATATATATATATATATATATATATATATATATATATGACTAGATGTACCCAGGGGGGGCACAGCCAACAGTGAACACATAAATAAAGAGAAAACTAACCACTGCAGTATGGCTGAACGAAGAACAATTACAGCAATCAAAAAGGAATGTAGCTAGTTTCCAGTCAACGAATAAAATACAACTAATAAAATTGCGGATGCTCATGGGTATTATTCCCAGAATATGTAAATCAGTTGTGGTTTTCTGACTAATGAGGGACATCATTCCTTCGAAGTCATGTCCATTTAAAATAGATAGAATTTCGAGGAAAAAATTTCTTCAGTGAAGTATCTTTTAATTTCCTTAGTTTATGTAAGAACCTATTTCAACTGAGGTTCGAAGACAATTTTTCTGGTTATTTTAGTATTATGCTATATGTACTCGTGATTTGTTTAGAATGTAATGAGTTATACTGTCTGATAATCATGAACAATCCTTAATTTGTTATGCATATATAATCGAATGGTCTTTGTTTGCTTCGAGGTTACGTATTGACTGAAGCTTATTCTCAGGTCTTCTGTTCATACGATACTTAACAATTAACTGTTAATATTCTTCTTCTTAATCATTTCTGTCAACATCAAACATTTAGTTTCGTCAACTCAGTGCAAGTCACAAACTTTAACAACTAACTTCTCTTGAGTAAAACTTCAAACCTAACTTTGATACTTTTAATTTTGAGACTATGCATCACGCCGATGACTATGAAGTATCATGTATTAATTAATGTGTTTGAATTAGTTTTTCTACCTTTTTACTTCTAAATTTGATTTCACTTCCAGAGTATACTCCATCATATCCGAACTTTCTCAATGCTCTCCTATTAAGATTATAGCTCATTGGGATACTTTTAATTCTGCTACTGAAACGTCAGTCAGATTGTGTTTTTACTGTACAGATTATGATGCCTATCGTTCGTGGTTAGGTGTAACAATTACACCTAATGGTCTTGTGGTGTTGTATGCCGACCCTCCTAGAACATATCGTTTAGGTATGGATCTAAACAGACTCAGAGATGTTTTGAACAATCAGGTACGTTTATTTAAAAAATTATAGTCCTTGTACAATGAATCTGTTATTGAGGTTGTACTATTTGATTTTGTAGTTCATTTCAATCATGCACGTACGTAATATTGTAAACCGTATCCAAGAATCATTATTTAATGTTTCTGATAATAACTGTTCAACTACTAAGGTATAGTGCTAATTGTTAATTATAAAAATAATGATATATTTACAAAATCCCAATGAGTGTAGAATAAAAACTTGAAGTTTCGTGTCTAAGTGTAAACCAGTTCTCCAAAGAATAAATTTTCTATGGCATCTCTGAAGTACAAAGTACTGTTACAAGACTAAAAATACCCTGATTTCATTTAAGCTATTTGATTTAGTTGAAAAGTTCATGTAGTTGGGTAGGTTGACTAAACAACACGTTTGTAACCTTAGTTCTACTATGTACGTGTAAAATTTGTCCTCTCCGAGCTAAGGATGATATACATACTGATAAGTCTTGTTAATTTGAACGCTTTATTCGGTTCCTAAGTTATTCTGGTAACGGGCAAGCTAGAACTACGCAGCGACCTGAACTCGAGAGAAAAGGCGCAAAATAAGAGGGAAACACTACTCCAAAGGTTCATTTTTGTACAGAAAAACACGGGTATTTATAGATGTTAACATTTGTTAAATCAACATCATTTTTTGGCCAATCTGCTAAAAGACATATTATGCTACTGACCAATAGTAGCACGCCACGTTGATATTCTAGAAAACTCCATCATGCACTGATTGGCTAGGACTCTTCGGCTCCTTTAGGGCCTCTAGAGACTCCGTTGCAGTTCTCGGAAAGCCGACTCAACACATACCTCCTGTATTCAGTCATCATTATCTCTCATGGACTGCTGATATCCAGTGCCAACATCACATTAGTAATGGTTAGTTCCATCGGTGCGTATCTGAGCACAGCGATGATGATTCATTTGACATCATATTGAAACATCGACTCTGGTGTTTCGGACATTTCTATGAATGTCATCTCAGTGGCTTCCACATAATTCTAGTATTGAGTTGAAAACATTGGGAAATGAGTGTATAGTATCGCACTGTGGCAACAAAGACACCCGTGTATTACTGATATCTATCTGTCCATCATGACTTTCGGGCCTGAGTTTTAGAGATCGTCCGTGCTGCGACCTGAGATATTAGAGATTTCTCAGAATATGAGCTATTTCCAATCCTGTCATAATTTTCTCTTGCATTCTTCTGAAAGTGAATCTTCTCAAGTGAAAAAATGTTTCTTGTATGCATTTTTGCATGAGCTGTTTCTCTTAGCAACTACCAATCTTGTTCACTTATTTGCTGATTGTATGACTCTTCCTTCTATTTCTTCATAATATCATTTTCTTTTTGTGTAGCACATGTCTTACTGTGTATAACCGAATGTGTTATAAATAAGCAAATGCCTTAGATTAGTCTGTTGTAAGATATTGATAATACTTGCAAGTAGTTGTCGTTTTCACATGACATACACGCTCTGGAAAATCCATTTATATTAGTAGATAAGGTTTATAAATGAATTCTTGAGTATATTTTTGGTTTTTGAGTACATTATCTTGAATAATGATATTATCTTTCCTGTCTCCTAAGGTGATATTGGTGAGTGTATGTATCAGTATGCTCAGTTAACCCACTTTGTTACAAGCTACAAACTGACTAGAAAAAAGTAGAAATTAACCGAGAAAAATTAAGGATAAGTGCATGGTCAAGTCATCCAACCCACAAAACCTACTGTAAAATAGTTTAGATATCATCAACTATAAATTTTGAAATCTTGAATTGTTTGTTTTATTTATTTTTTATAGATAATTAACTCTTAATTGTTTGTTATGCTCTAAAAACCTTATTCATCATAATATAAAAAGGCTTTAGTGCCTATTTATAAATAGCAAAATTAATGACCAAATATCATGTAGTAGTTATCTTCACTCAGCATATTCTTGTTTTCAAAGTTATTACATAGTATTAACAAATAAATGTCTTCCACTTAGATTTCCTTTCCACTGATCTTCAACTTCAGGTATTGTATACACAAATGAATTATATAGATATATTGGCTATAAAAATTTTGGGTTGGGTTCGACTAGGGAATAATCCATTTTCAGCACTAGCCAATCCTGAAGAAATCGGTGATGGTCCAGTGATAGTAAAAATGTTTGCATCTCCTTCTGCTAAACAGTAAGCTGATATTTCGTATACCAATCTTTTTCTTTTGTGTTTCATGAATATTACTGTTAATATCCTTTCCACACAATTATTTTGTTACAATTTACTTACATATGATCATCATGTGAACTAGTCCAATCCTAATAGTAATGTGTGAGTGATCTGAAGTTTATTGGTAAATTTAGCGAAACTGATACTCAATATTAATGCATCTATGACATAGTTTATCTGAATCCAGTAGGATTATATTTAGTTCATAAATGATTGTGAGCACTATCTAGACATCTTTGTGTTTTTTGAAGCGGAACGAACTGTAATATTACGATGTCGATAGGTACTGTTATTCACTATCAGATGACAGAACGTTAGGTGTGAACAGCTGTTAAGTAGATCTAATTTTAGAGATGAAATACTGAATACATATATCTTTACTGTTGAGATATATTTCTAGTCACATGATTTGATTTCAGTTCCTTAAGGTTACTATTTAATAAAACCATGGTTCCTGTCAGTTGCTTTATACGGTGGTGATAAATCGTTACATGATAACAATGAAACACCCGCCATTATACCACTACTTTTAAAGTGTTATTTACCATTTTTCCTGTTTCTACATTAGCAACATGTGTACAAAACTTAATAGCCTCGTTAAATATATGTACCTTTTTACTTGAGACTGTAAACAGCCTCAGTCCTTCGATTATCTAAACAAAGCTGAGTAATACTATAGGCTTAAATAGTCAAGTTTATGTTTACACTAGTCGGTTGGATAGTTTTAGTTTCAAACACATACTAACTATCAGAACCTAAGTGACACGTTTGTTAGATCATACTTTTCATTTTTTGAAATTACAGTACGATAGTCGTTAAAATTAATTTCAAACAAGGAACTAAAGTTCGCACTTGTGTACAAAAGGATTTAAATTCAAGATCGTTAGCGTGTACTTGGTAAATGAGTGACACTGAATAATTTAGAAAAACACCAAATTGTTTGAAGTCTAAACAAACATTTTAAAAATGAACTCTTACTGAGCCTCCTCAGTGTTTTGTAATTTGGTAGATGAGTCCCATAAAAAACACTAACAGAAACCAGGATAAAATTCAGGCTGGACGAAACGCACATCCTAGATTCCGTTGCTAATATAAGAGGAAATAATATTTAAAAGTATATTCTGAAATATTTATTGATAGTCATCCTAAAGCCCATACAGTATGTATTACTGACATATATTCGTTTCTTCGAAAGATTTTCTTGAATCTCTTTTATTTACTTGTAGGTATTTCTCATGCTTTTTCGTCGTATTGATTTTTGGTGTTACATTTTTTTTTATCAAACACCTGTTTATCGGGAAATGTATTGGTTTTAATTTGTTGTTAAGTTTCTCTTTCTGTTTCTCCACACCTTTTTAGTTTAATTTGTTTACGTGCAAGTGCTGTCATGGATATTCGAATGTTTGTTTCTCGTTGTAGTCCATGCGACTACCAATTTACTACCGATCATAAAGATATATTTTCAAATCAAGACTTTCGTGAAGTATTTCTTTCTCATATGTATGGAAAAAGTTTGGTGTCCAAAGTTGAAGCACTTATGACTTTATTATCCTAATGAAAGTATTATAAAAGATTTTGTTTTAATTGTGTAAATAAATATTACTTTATACATTCACTTTCTGATGTCAATTATACATCTAAAGAGGTATAATTGTTAGTCGTTTATGAATTAAGATTACCAGTAGGTCATTGAAAGGTGTACCTCAGAAGTACATAAACCTTGTAAAGGCTCTTTACTCGAACACTACTAGTCGAGTCAGAGCTTATGGCAAACTGTCATCTACTTTTGCAACCTCAAGTGGTGTCCGTCAAGGCTGTCCACTTTCTCCATTTCTGTTTAACTTCATCATAGACTTACTGATGGAAATAACATACTCATCGACTGAGTTTTCGGGTATTGATCTCCTACCAGGAGGTCCACTTATCGACTTAGAATACGCAGATGATATAGTCCTGTTTGGTGAAGACGCTGATAAAATGCAGAGTCTTCTAGTAGCACTGAGCAACAATGCCAGAATGTTTGGGATGCGCTTCTCTCCCTTTAAATGGAAGTTGTTGCTTCAGAACTGGTCTGCGTCAACACCTGAACTAAGGATAGGGAGTGAAGTAGTCGAATGCGTCGACAACTTCACTTATCTTGGAAGTCTGATCAACCTTAATGGGTTGGTGTCTGACGAAATCTCAGCACGGATTCGAATAGCTCGTTTGGCTTTTGCCAACTTACATCACCTTTGGCGAAGGCGAGATATCCGTCTATCAATAAAAGGACGAGTATACTGCGCGCAGTCCGTTCTGTTTTACTGGTCCTACGTTGTAGCTGACTGACTAACTGACATAAACAGTTGATTAAATCATTATTTGGTATACCTTCTATACTGCTAATAATAATAATGAATGAAATTTTTGATTTGAACTTAAATTATGAATTTTATTTAGATAACATGATTACCTAATCCTGTTAGTAATTAATAGTGTTACTATTGACGTACGATGTCCTTATTACCAAACTATCCGGATTAATTTCGTCCCATAATTAAGATTACGTTTGCCTCCGGTGTAATGTTAATTAAGTCATGAAACTAAGTATTGTTAAGTAAAGTTTATCTCTAGCATCCTTGTATCTAGCCAAGCGATCAAACAGGCAACGGACAAATGCATTTATGAATGAAATCAAAGTCAAGTGTATACATATGTATATACAAAGTGTCGTGAATCAAAAATCCATCTTTAGCGTGACAAATCCGTCAGAAAAACGTGCATAGACATTCATAAACGCATATGTGTACACAGATAAGAGTTTACAATTGTTTATAAGAGGGAGAACAAAGTAACCAATGCTTTTGTAATTATAAGCTTGACAACAAAGCGCTTTTCTCATACCGTTCTGACAAAGCCCAAAAAGATAGGCATGCAGTATAATGGAAATAAGTGAAATGATCAACCTGTCCATAAATTAGGACAAAGTTCCCACAAGACGATCCTAAAAGATGATTCCAGTGCCTAGACGCGATCAGTGCTGATCATATGTTCAACGTTTGAGCTATTGCCGAATAGCATCCATCTTAAGATCGAAGTTCAGAGTAGTATTTTAACATTTGTTTAACGAGTTTACTCGTCATTCGACTAATGACATTCACATGAACAGGCAAACAAATAAATTAGGATTAAGGCTTTCGAAAGCGGCTGTTTGTCGTTAACGTCTCTCCAAATGAAGTGCCTGATAAAGAAAACAACTCGAAGCTGAATAGAAACTATCTTTAAGATTGCTTTTCAGAACAGATGTTCATGAACAAAATCTTTAGTACTGTTAGAGTATTTCCGAGTTGCTGTTTTAGTTTTACACTAATTTAGATGTCTCTGGCTTGGAAAACTACTCAATCGTTGTTCATCGGATTTTACTCATCATCGCAGTCCGGCTTCAAAGATATAAAATTGATTGAGCTCTGGTCGCCTAGTAACACCCAACTTTGAAAGTTTGTCTGTTACACGTTGACTTTCTATATACCGATCTTCGTAGAAAGCGCTCTGGTCATCCCTACAGAAAAACATTAAGAAAATGAAATTCATATTTTACCTCCGATTTTATTGTGAAGGTGTTGGCAACTATTGAACTGATGTAGGGTGTTATTAACATCCGTGTTCTCGCCACATAATGGAGGTGTTGTTCATACAATTCTTGTATTGTTGTTCGAAGGACTGTTCTCCAGAATGATCACGATACTCAGACCCAGCAGTGAGTCTATTTTATCCCGATCAATCTGCTCATATAAGTAGTAGTTAAATATGAATTGAATGTTGAAGTGCAACGTAGTATTTTTTTATGCAATGTTTTGCAGTACCGATTCGGATTATGTTATCTTAAATATAAATACATAAGAAGCAGATTGTATGTGTAAGAGGAACATTATAAAGAGAAGAGCAAAACCTAATGATATTTTCTTTCCTAATAAGTTGATTTCGGGTATTCAATAAGCGAAATCATAGGGATCAGAAACTCTATATCGAATTATCTAATATATGACTGGCTGTAGAATTTCCACTAACAATTTGGGAGTTGTTTGGTATGAGAAGTTATTAACTTCAATTATAAGTCGAAGAGGAACATATATTATTAAACTTTGGGAAATCATGAAACGGTCGGATAGTGAAACCTGATAATTTTAAATGTTCAAATAGGTCACTGATGATGGTTGGTTCATTTTTTTTAAAAGAAATTTTATCAACATTTATTCAGCTTGGTTGGTTGTATCTATTTAATTATTTCTTCAGAATACTTATATGCCTGTCAGTTTAAAAATTAACTTAATAATATAATCCAACAAAATATGCTGAAGCATATTCTCATTTTATCCGTTTCCTCAAATAAATTCTTAAATTAAGGAGAGTTATTACTGTGACCTAATACTGAAGTAGATTAATTAAAAAGTATCTTTATAGTAGTGTTACTTCTTTTTAATTAAAACAATTGCATCAGTTAAACAATGAATATCTGTAATTTGTATTGTTTAATTTTTCTGCACGTAAATACAAATAAACAATAGTAGTTATTTATTTACTCACGTTAATAAAGTAAACATGTGTTTTTGTGGATTAACTTAATGCTTAAGATACTCACCTCTAATTATTATTCACGTGTCATTTATTTGATTATACTCTGTAAAAATTGAATACAATAAACAATTGCTTATGGATGTATAGTGATAAACTCTCAACTTCAGTAATATATTTATTTAAAACTCATAATATAGTAGAACATTGTATTCCGACTTAACAATGATAAAATTATAAGTGGATATAGTTTATATATATATATATATATATATATATATATATATATATATATATATATATATATATATATATATATATATATATATATATATATATATATATATTACTAGTAAACAAAACAAGTGAACATATAGTAGTGACCTTATTGTCTATTACTATAGCAACAAGCAGTCAGTTTTTCCAGCTCATTCTGAATTATCCGGATGCTATCTTATATGTGTAAACAAGGCAAATTCATCTATGCTCCCTGTATGTCACAATATGAATTGATTCTGCAAAACATAATTTTCTCTGCATATCATAAGAAATTCAAGCCTTAAACAATGGACTATATATATATATATATATATATATATATATATATATATATATATATATATATATATATATATATATATATATATATATATATATATATATATATATATATATATAGCCCCGCCCTAAACCGTGTTCAACAATTTAGATTAAAACATCTGAATTATTACAAGAATTTTGGTGATAATGATAAATTCATAGTTTAAGTGTTTGCCGTCACTGATATTTGAAAGGATAATATAGAATAAAAAGCGAAATAATTTCTTATAAGAAGAAATAACTTATTGTTGAACCGTAAATTCAAGCGATTAACACTCTAGATGAGAATAAACTTGTGAAAATAAAATGAAGTTCATTTATTCCCTCAGAAGGTATTCTGTCTGAAGAAGTATAAAAGTAAAGTTTAAATAGTAATCAACATTTTAAGCTTGTGTTAACAGTAACTTTAGATCTAGTAATTCTCGGACGTGTATTTCTGTAAGTTAGTAGCGATTTAATAACATGGGATATTAATCGATTAAAGAGAATTTAACAATTATTTACTGACTCCTGTACTGTGAGATTCGATCCTGAATGTTTAGTCCCCAGGTTCGTGAACTTGATAGACTCTAAATGTTACAATAAAAATAGGAAATTTTCTTTCTTTTATTAGATAAGTTATAAAATCAAATCCAACTCTTCCAAATTATGGGCAATAGTAACAGATAATCTTAAATAAATGCAAATTTCATCGTTCACAATAATCTTATAACTGACAGGAAGCTAATGATAACCAAAAATGTTGAAATTGAACTACAATTAATAAAAACCTTTAATTGCATTATTTACACATCAGACTTTTTCAAAGGAGTCAGTTGTGTGGTCAGCTTTTTAATTTTACTTTCATTTGAAATATCCTGTTCTTTAGTATATTAAGTATACATTATGTATGTCAAATTTCAACATGTTGTGAATGACCCTTCTAGATATTACAGACCATTTTTACTGAAGTTCCATCAAGAAAAACACTTGATTTTTAACTTTATCTCCAGAAAATGCTTCTAGATAAGGGATTTTGAAAAAAAAAAGATTCTCTACATGAATTTGTAACTGAGTTTACAAAGACTTTTGTTAAAAAAACACATAAGAAAATGGTTCTGTGTAGACTGTCTGAGTTTAGTTTTATTCCAGAAACACAGAAATCTTTCTCGTATTCATCCAATATTATTAAAACCAAGTGTGACCTTACTAAGCTATTCGATTACAATCTGAAATAAGTTTTCTAGCCTGAATAATTGTCACAGAGATAAGTAATATTAATTTTAAATGCTGTTTAGTATGAGATTTCCTAAGTGAGAACCAATCTGAATAGATATACCATTATCATTAAAAAGAAATATGACACGTTGATCTACATACTTATAACTACAAATCATTTGCACAAAAAGTTGATTGTTTGTAACAACAACAAAAAAAATGCTCAAGGATTATGATACCCGAAATTTGTATTATCGTTTGGAAATTA